GTAGCATTCCTTACTAGTCTATCTCTTCAGATATTTACAGATCAGTTTAGGTTCTTTCATGTGTTTCAAGAGGGAGGTGTATCTACCTTCCTAGATTGTAACCATTGGAAATGATTTTATGAGATTTTTCTGAATCTTCTTCTGAAGAAACTGTTAAGAATAATGCACCACTTGAAGCCTATGCACCATCTTGACGCCAATAACTAGACATTTTTTTTGGAAAGTTTGGTTGTAGGTTTGTAGGGACTCATTGAGGATCTATGAGAGAAGAATTTTTGGCAGGGGATCTTTGCTTACCGGAAATGGTTTCCTCCTATCAAGGATTCTAAACAACTTCCTAGTAAAGGGTCACCATAATCTGTTTTTAAGGTTATGATAGCAAAATTGAGGTCAATCTTGAAAATTTATTGAGAGCAATGAATAGATTTTGCCATCACATACCTTGACGATATACCTTTTTCTGAAACCATTGGATTTAATTTCATCAATGCAAATGTAAGTCAGAAAATAAATCTACTGGAAGACTGAAAAAAGTTGAAAAAATTGACTCAACTTGATTCAGCCAACCATTTCCGTCACCTAGATTGGCTGATTGAATATCGCCTAAATGAAGTCCTAAACATTCTTGAGAACTGAAAGCAAATAAGTTGACAAAGTGGACAAAATGGTTTATGAGCAATGAGTTGAATAATATTGCCTGCGGTAAAATTGTGATATGGTGATGAAGAATAAGACAAAAGAATGATAGAAATGACTCAACAATCCGATTGATTTGGCAAATTTTGCAAACCCTGAATCAGTAAGGACTTCAGGTGAACTTTTTGCAGAAATGATCACCTAGTTTTGAAATAAAACAGAAAGTTGAACAGAATAGGGGAATTAACCTTCAGGATTGAGTCATCTGAAGATTTTTGTGCTTAAAGAGGATATCCAATATTCACATTTAAGGGTTCACCTAAACCATTGGAAGGAATTTTATTGAGACTTTGACCTCCTCCATCGGAAGGCAAATAATAAGGAACCTTATTATCATTGTTGGATGTTGAGTTTTGACATAGGCAAGTTATCATAATGAAGGAAAGATTGAAGCGGCTTGAAGAAAAACAAATCATCTATTCTTGTTTTTTGTTTAAAGTATGTGAAGGAGGGAGGGATAAATTGATACAACCTTTCAGTTAGGGGAATTGTGTCGCGAAAGGCTTTATGTATTTTATTTTGGTGGAAAAAAGGCCCTTCTTGTGAGGTAGATGACAAAGCGTTTTGATCTATTTGATGATCGACAAAAAACGTTAATCCTCTGCAGGTTCGAATGAAAATTTCAATAGGAGATGACAAATTTCGAAATCAAGGGAGTCAAGTCAGCAGCGGTAACAAGTGTGAGAGGAGGGAGCCAAAGTGATTCAGATAATTACACAGCTGATGAATTTTTAAGCCTTCTTTTTCTGAACTTTTGAGACTGACTCCTGATGAGAAATTGGGAGGGAGAATTGTTCGAGAAGTAAACTGATGCTGTTAAAATCTGACCAGTTCAACAAGTTATGCAAGGACTGCCTTTGCGTGACATTTGTTGTCAAGAGCTACAAGTGACGAAAAACCATTTCTCGACTACGGGATCTGGATAGAACACAATTTTGAACTTCAAACTCTAACTAGGGTGACATACCTCGGTGAATTCGGTCAAAGTGCCATTTTTGCGACAATCTCAAGGAGCAGGATCTGAAAATGGCTCGGTAATTTAATTCAGCAGTTCAATTATTTTGAGAAAAAGATCGGGCAATCAGCCAAAATGCGAACGCGGCCTGTTAAATGTGTCTGTAGATAGGATATATGAGCCCCAACATTGGTGCAAACTGGTCAAATTTTAGCAAGAAAACAAAGAATCATCAACATTCTGCATACGCGCTGTAAAGATCGCCACATAGTCGAGAGATGATTTTTGCCAACTGTAAAGTTATGATATCAGTGAGGTTTCATGTGAAATGTTTTTTTTGTGTTCATGCCGTCTACTAGGTTGGCAATGAAACGCTGGATGATAAGCGTAATCTAGCGCGAATCTTCTAGATATACAAGGCAAGAGTTCAATAGACGCTGTTCAACTGTAGCTAGTTGCAAATCCAATTCCATTGTTGCAAAACAATAGCTCTCCATAGTGTGTAAGTAGTCACGAACACGAATTTCATCCCGCCTTGCCTGATCATTCCGCGTACTATGGTGTCAAGGATAGTCGAATTGAAGTTAAAAACTTATCTGCTTATTTAGGGTTATCTAATCTCATATTCATTCTTACTATTTCCTTTTCTCGTCTGATATACTATGATATCATCTTACTCATTTCTTATTTATGATGTCATTGCTGTGAAATGCTATTAGTAATCTGATCGTGTCTTGTGATGTCTTCGGTATATATAAAGAGTGCTTCCTTACCTATTGTATTTCCTCTTTTCCTTACCGATTCTATTCATCACTTCGAGCAGGTATTGTTCTGCTCCTTATCGGTCACTGAGATACTTATATCTCTTACTAGTTACTAACTAGCATTCCCTAACAGGTTATTATTCTTCTTATTGTTGTTTCTGCTCTTGTGCTGTTTATTAATAAAATCTTACCGATTCTATTCATCACTTCGAGCAGGTATTGTTCTGCTCCTTATCGGTCACTGAGATACTTATATCTCTTACTAGTTACTAACTAGCATTCCCTAACAGGTATTGTTCTGCTCCTTATCGGTCACTGAGATACTTATATCTCTTACTAGTTACTAACTAGCATTCCCTAACAGGTTTGCTCATAAGTCTCATAGCCATCTCGCAATTAGTCGTGTTAGGAAATTAATTGGTTTGAAGTTCGTTTGAGTAAATCTCGATATTCCCCGATTCTTGCTCGGAAGGAACCGTGGTCCAGCTGTGATGGTGAGAACCACTACTTTTCCATCTTGTGATATACCATGATTTACTGACAAAATCAGTCACATGATAATCAGCCTTGCATGTCCCACTCCAAAATTTGACCCAGTTAACCTATGAGCTTGAGCAGCTTTTTGAGTCCTGAATTAACTTACCTCCTACATTACCTGCAGGGAGCATACCATCTACATATTCTACCCGAGTGAAATATTTTCTGTTTCCAAAGGCTGTGTTACCTGTAGTAGCATTAGCTACTAATCTGTCTCTGTATCACGAATTTGTCAGTCTTGTAATATACATTATACCTGAAGCTCTTTGATGACATGGCGGAGAAAGGTGAAACCCTTACCTCCCTAGATTGTAGCCATTGGGAACTATAGTATGTGAATGATTTAA